TCAGCCACTTGGTGTGAACACATACTGGGAGAGCTTGTGTGAGATTTAAATGCTAACTTCCCAAATTCTTTGTTCACATAGACGCATGCAGTCACAGCAGTCTCACAGCACGCTCAGAACAGTGGCACAAATGTAATACCATAAAGTTTTTAACTAAATGCATAAAACGTGAGGGTGTTTAATCCTGTCACCGGGAAAAGTGAAGGGTGTTAAAACACGGATGTGACGTCCGTGTGAAGGTGACACCGACGACTCAACTGGCGTTACCTTAAAAAAGACGTGTCTGCTTCAAAACCATCCAATATGGCTGAAATGAAACAATTCTGCAAAGACAAGAGGGTAAAATTTATCCTCCGTCATGTAAGAAACACTTGATGGCAGGTGATGTTCAGAGGACAATTACCTGTTTGTGCATTCAGGTTCTTTGATGCAAACATTTTGCGCCCTGAAAAACATGCAAGTGTGACAAACGATAGCTGCAGATTGTTTTCACTTTGCAGGATTCCCTTTCAAACTATGTTAAAGTTTAAGGTTGTGGGTGTCAATACTTCAGAATGTCTGTTTTCTTGAGTTAATCTCTCAGTTTTCATCCTTACCTATTCCAAGGTTTTGGCACAAACTCAATCATCAGTTGCATGTGATAAAATCAATCACCACTGACATCCCAAAGAAATAAGTCATTTTTACCCAGTGATGGGTAAAGCAATTATCCTTTTTGCCCGCCCCCATTATACTTTTGCCCATGGTCATTAAAGTAAATCGGCTTCAGCCGAGTGTCTTCAGCGTCAAATCGGCTGTAACAATCAACTGTCCTCACACTCCACAGCACTAATCCCCCCTCCACATTTGTCAATACTAAATCTCCTAAGTGTAGGAATGGTCTGTGTTGGACTGTGGCAGCTAATTGCTTGTGATGTTCCTTTTCCCCCCGTCTTAAATGATTAGCTGGGTACATGTCAGGTAGTTCAGCTGCATGATCTTTACTATATTCACTGGGGACATAGTATTGTAGTGAGTGCTGGTTTAAAGGGGATCAAGTCAGCAGTATTTGTTTTCCAGCAGTGGTTTAAAGATGCATTTAGCTTCTGTGACAAGATGAAAAACGACTGAAGGATCATAAGATCGAGGGAGAATAATCTGTGTCAAGAATTTCAATCAGAAATGTTGATGCGCTTGTTGGATTTAAGCTTGTGGGTGGGAATGAAAACTTCAAAACACAAAGGAAGATCTTGAGCACGGCTAAAGGAGTGCTAGGCACATGAATATATTCTTCCTAACCAGCTGCGTGTTATTTGGCACTCTTTTGCTGCAAGCATTAACTTTTTTAGCATATATTTGAAGTTTGTTGGAAACAGAATCATTATATATTAATGGTGTTTAAAGAAAACATATTAAACATAATCTACTTAGGTCTGAGCCCCACTTTGGATATCTGTCAGCTTGGTAATATTTGAATGTTTTTTTCTAAAGTGGAAGTTGTTGAAGATCCTCTTGACTAGAGCAGTGGTGTCCAAGGGCAACTGTCCTGCATGTTTTAGGTGATTTCCTGGTTCAACAAAAGTGAACTTAATGAGTGATTAACTAGTAAGCCTCTGCAGACCTCAGTGACATATTGAGGGGGGAAATTGAATTTGAATTAGATGTGTTGGAGGAGGCACAAATCTAACGATGCAGGATGTTGACAGGACATATTAACGACTCATAAACTCTCCGCTGGGCCCGACCGCCAGAAATCTTTAAGGTGTCTTTAGTATCACAACACATTCATCTGAAGTAAGTTAAAAGATTTAGAAGTGTTTCCATGCTGGCACTCATCGTAAAACCCAAATCAGTACTTGTCTGTTTGTATTTCAGCTATGAAATATAAATGGAAAAATAACAGAAGGCAGATCTCTCCAAAAGAACAGGTGTTTCCTTTGTAAATACACATTTTATCTTATCAAAATGACACCTAGTTTTGACCTATAAAGTCTCAAATAACATCTCACTGGGAGTTCATGTCAGTGCAGCAGATTTAAAAAAAATTCAAGTTTAATGCCTTGATTCTGGTTGCAGAAGGATGATAAGAACCCGCGATCCATTTTCAGAGACCAGCTTTGATCTTTTAAAAGGCCATTATGCATCTCTGTGCGACTGCTGACTTTAGTAAGTGCTGAAGAAGTGGATAAATTGATGTTTGTCAGTAGGTGTGATAAGTGGATGTAAAAATGTGCCGAATTAAATGGACATTTAAAATACATTTTTGAAAGAAATTAAGAAAAGATCATTCTGATTTTTACAGCAGTTTGGCTTTAAAACCTGCTATTGACCACATTATTTACTTTTGCTTTGCAATATTACAGTTCAAGGGCTGAGTAGATCATTGAACAAGTCAATGTGTGAATGTGCTTTCTCCAGCTGAAAAAGACCCAAAAACTGACATTTTTTGTACAAAAAGATTAAAGATCAATAGTCAACTTGCAGCTTCAGCCATCACTGCCAGAAACTCCTGATCAGGCCTGAAATCTGGGTGTAGTCATGGACTTAGATCTCTGCATCCAGAGAGAAAAAGACAAACACATAAGGCACAAAATACAATGACATGGAAAGTCTTACACGTACTTAAAACACCCAGCAGGACTTGTATTTATCTTTATTATAAAATAAGGTTTATTTCCTCATGTTCTAGCCAATTTACGTGTCGACATGAGACACAGTGTGTTGGCATCTTTATCTCTGAAAACACTCTAAGATTCTACAACATCGTGTGTTTCTGTTTCCTTACACTTGACGCTGCTCAGAGTAAAACCTGCAACTACAAACGCTTCCATTTTTAATCCCATCCAATCTAAACTCCAAAGCAGAGAGTAAACAGGCTCCTCACGATGAGTCCCTGATAATGATGTTGTTGGAAAATGTTCTGAAAATTCCCAAATGAAGGCCTGTTTAATTCGCCGCAACTAAAAATAAGCACAGAAAATACTACATTCATTTTATTCACATAAACACTGATTTTCCTCTTTGGGCTGAGTGTGCTTCTATTGAAAAGAACAAAAACATGTTTGTTGGCTTTTGCTTTGTGTCTCACCCAGAGACTGTAAAAGGATGTTTTAATGAGGTGAAAAGTTGATTGTTTTTGATTATGATGCACCAAGGTTTTCCTCATCCCTCCTTCTTTTGTTATTTAGCTTTATTTTTGAATAATAGTTTATAAAAACAGGCACACAGAACATTGAGTTTAATGACTACAAACCTTTTATTATCACCATCTTGTTGACTGTAAATATAAAGCGCTATGGCTGATTTCACATTTCCATTTAAACCTGCAGTATGTAACATTTATAAGCAATGCTTCACAAATAACCTGTCAAAAAAATCAAGCTCATCTACCTCCTCCCTGTGGTCTGAAGAAGTGCACCGCTCCCGGTAAGAAACGGCCAATCAGAGTCAGGAGGAAGGTCTTGGCACTGGCAATCAACCTCATGTATACGCTGCACCTGTACTGATGGCAGAGAAACGACTTACTGTTCCAGGAAAACCATTTATCCACTGTCATCGGTGATCATGCTAACTAGCTGTAGCGTAGCAGAGAGTAAGGGGAAGGATGGTGTGAGTAGCACATACACAGGAGTAATTAACAGCGCTAAGACCCACCTCCTGGCTCTGATTGGTTGTTTCTCATTGTGTATTTCTGTAGATGTCAGTAGAGCTACATGGAGAAAGCTGAGGAGCATGATTTTTATTTTTTTTACAAACATAGCAACAGTTTTAACAAATTTGTAAAAACATTGTCTATAAAAGTTGTACACTGCAGCTTTAAGTGTAAGTGTGAATATCTAATGAATGCACTGTTATCTTATGCAGCCTGCACAGATACTTTTCATTAAAGATGAATTCATAAAAGCAGGAGTAAAGCTGTCTGTGTTAAATATTGGATTCTAACTTTTATTCATTTAGAACATATTTAGATTGCAAAGCAATAAAGGAGTTGATGGTTTCCACTAAAACCATCCCTGCATGGCTGCTTGCATTCACAGCTAACCGGCATGCTGTGCACTGTTTATGATTTATGGTGGCTGACATTGCACTCTGCTCCACCGGGTAACTGAAAAAAGGGAAAAAAATCACATCTGGTAGGACTCAGAGGAGTTTCATTGTGAGATTTCCAAAGAAGCTCAGGAAAGCAAGGCGAGAGTCCAGGCAGCTGCAGGATGCATCATGCAGCTTACGTCAGATCGCACCGTCGTGCTTCCATATATAAATACAGCAGTGCATCAAATAAGCCAGTTGTGCAATTACAGCGCACTCATCATGTGATTAAAAGGGGTCAATGAAGCCTGTAATGCCATGTGAGCAACACTTGGTGTGTAAAATTGAACCTCAATTGCTTTTACAATGAGCTGCTAAGTTAAAGGTCAGCATTAGTTCAGCTTTTTAATCACGTGTCTTTGTTTTATGGTGCTTTTTTAATTCATTAAAGCAATTGCATTCATAATATTTTCTCATTTGGAAAAGGCTGTTAAAAACATTCTCAACAACTTGCATGTGATGGAGGTCATGCACAGTACAAAACGATTTTTTAAATGTTCCCATTACATTTGTTGCACAGACTGAAAAATCTGTTTTTTCTTTCTTGATGATTATTCATAAGCTCTGACTATTTAGTATATTTTTTTCTTTGCATCTTGCATCTCCACCACAGTCTCACTGCAGGCATCAAAGAACCTCAGAGGATTTTTCCAGCCATATGTTAACCAGGGCTGAAACATGCTAAATCAGCTCCTTGTTTCCTTACATTACACAGGGTGACTTTGTTTAAAGTCTGACTAGTATTTAAACTGTTCTTCTGTTTCCAGCCATGTGACCTTACATTTTCTGGGATCTTAATGTTCTAGATGTGGTTGCTAGGAGATTTCAAACCAACGCACAATTATACACGAGTGTCCCTACGTTGCCATTCGAAAACCTTTTTACAAAGAAAGCAGGAAATCACTTCTGCTTCTCTTTTCTTCTATTTTTAGGTACGTCCGTGTTGCAAGTCACAGCGACAGATGCTGACGACCCAACCTACGGAAACAGCGCCAGGATAGTCTACAGTATTTTACAAGGACAGCCATATTTCTCCGTGGATCCCAAAACAGGTGCCGTATTCCTGCTTGCTGGGGATAAAATGTTGCAGTAAACGCCTATTTGCATAGAAGCACTATAAACAATGTTCAAAAGTATTATCACTCCTTGAACTTCTTTACATTTTGGCAACTACAAACCTGAATGTTTTTACTGGGACACTGACAAAAGGAACAGGTGACTTTCAAAGATCTTTCTGACTTGACAAGCAGATTTTTTGTTCAGCTCCCGTTACTCTGATGCTTCTGAATAAAATCCAATGAGCAGCTAAGAGGCTGTGTTACATTCATAGCTCAGGTGGACGAATATGCAGATGAGATAATTATTAGTTTGCTATCTAAAAATCTGGAAAATTTCACTGTTGTCACTTTTCAGAGATTTTTCAGTAGATTATATATAAAATATTCAAAAGAAGCTACTTGACATGCTACTGGTTAGCATTTGCAAATCAGACAATCTAGTTGATTAAATGCAGGAGCAGAAATAAGGAAAACTGCAGATATTAGATTCCTTGGTGCCATTACGGTTTCTAACATGGACATTGTGTATATTAATGTTTTAACTTAAAATAGGCAGTTCTAGTCGTTTTTAGAGGAGGCCTGAAGGTAATTGAAGTTGATGGAAGATGACTCTTGATCCCCTCACAGGTCCACTGCACATTTTGTTGTTCTATCATCTAAAATTGTAGTAAAATACAACATAGATTGCTGTCTTAATGTAACCCAGTGATTGTTGGGTAAAAATGCTCTTGCAAGGTATTGTTCAACTATTGTTGTTTATCTCTTAAAGTGTGAGAAATCTTTGCTGTGGACGTTCCGGTGCTATTTTCACCACGTCTGACATCATAAAAGTTAAAGCTACAGTTATGGCTGAGTCATGTTGTGCAGCACGCGAACCTCACTGTGGACCATAAGTAAGTTCTCCTGGGACCAAGCAGACATTTGCAGAACTCTCTCCAGAAAGCCATTGTTTCCTGCTCAGCGGTGCTCAGTCTTTTAAAGTTCATCCTTTGTTTGAGAGGCGTCTTCTATAATCTATTAAACATTAATAAGCCTTCTAAGGTACAACACATATAACTTTTATATGATGTAAAAAATGCAACATTTTCAGCGTGTATAGGTCTTTTTTATTTCTTATCTCTGAACCTTACACGGTCATTTGTCCTGGCGCTGCTCTTGCATCTAAAGTTTGCGCTGCTGTTGGGTAACCTGAACAACTCGTCTCTTGTATGACTTGATTCATTGCCGTCTGGGACACACTGCCACCTCCGGAGAGACCGCACCGCCCATGTGAAACGGGAATTTTCATGCTGAATGAATAATACAAATGAACAGCTGTCCGTTTTGACTTTACCATGAGGAAAAGAAAGACGATTGGGAATTAATGAAACC